ACACACACACACACACACACACACACACACACACACACACACACACAAACGAAGACATTGGCACTGTTGGCATGGCAACAAAGCACAGTAAAAAACGCTGTGAACCATCTAATGATGAATACGCAGCATCCTTCGGAAGTCTTTTTTCTTGTTATTAAGAGTTTATCTCGTTAAAAAGAGACCTGGTTGTAAAAGAGGAGGTCGAGTAGTCGGACTCGCCCTCAGTCCTCCTCACTCTTCTCCTCCTTCTTCTTCTCTCACTCTTTTCAGAGTCTCTTCCTGTCAGTCTCCCAGTCGGAGGCGTGTCGGGGATCTCAATCCTTTGAGCTCGTTAGTCCTCCAAAATGGCTTCCAAAGAAAGTTCAGCTTGTGTTGTGATCAGGCCATCAGGACACCTGGAGGCAGAATAAAGGGGGAGGAGTTAGCACATCACTAACACACGGAGAATTCAACATTTTTGATGCAACTATCATGTTTACACTCAATAGAAATAAAAGCAAAATGCACTTTATGTTTCCCGGTTTGAGCCGTTTAGTTCCAATGAAGGACTTCTTAAAGCTACAGCATCCAATGATGTTTCAGACGATAGAAAGCGGGCTGCAGTTTGGAGAAGTTGTTCCAAAACACTTTGATCTACAAATTTAAAGGACCCATTTGACATTTTGGGAAATATGCTTTTTTTGCTGACTTTGGTTACATGAGAAAAAACATTTTGTGAATATGAATCTACAGCCAATCAGACGTCGTTGTTACACTGTAGTTTTAAAATGGATTAAACAAACAAGATATTACATTTAAATCAGTGAACTTCAGAGGTACTTTGGTTACCTTTGGACAGAACCAGACTAGCTGTTTTTTGGTCTTTATGCTAAGCTAAGGTTACTTTTCTATCTATAGACAACAGAGTGGTATCAATCTGAACATTTAACAATTATCAATTAAGTAATTAAAAACTATTTCTTCAACTAAAGATTCAGGATGTGAGAAACATGTGGTTCTTCAGACTAGAAACATCTCCAGAAGATTCTGGTTCTCAGACTGACGACATGCTTCTGGGTTCAGAACCAAACAACAACACAGACAGCAAATCTCATCTCAACAAATGTCTCGCATATCATTTTATACACATTTTCTCAAAAGTCAGCGTGAAATATTCAGCAATCGTTCTTTTAGCAAAGGTTAAAAAAACCTCAAGAGTTTGTGTGCAATACAGAGCCGGTGTCATGACGAGGGTTAGCTTAGCTTAGCATAAAGATTGGTTGCAGGGGGAAACAGCTAGCCTAGCTCTGTCCAAAGTTGCCTACCGACAACTCCAGAGCTCTCTGATTAGCATGTTGTATCTTGTTTGTTAAATCTTGACAAAGCTGCCTTTATGCTAAGCTAAGCTAACCTCGTCCATCTCTGTACTTAACACACAGACATGAGTTTGCTATTGATCTCTCTGTAACCAAAGTCCCAAAATGTCAAACTATTACTTTAAGAGCGCTTTCCCATTTAATATTATTTTATAATTTTCATGGCACCACTGTCTTCATATTTGGTCTCAGTGTGGCTACCCAGAATCCCCTCCTCCTCCTCCTCCTCCAGCTCCTCCTCACCTCCACACTGTGCTTGTCCTGAAAGACACAAACACAAAACTCCCTTCAGTGATTCATTCCCACCACATAGAATATTTAAATGGAGTCGGTTAAATGAGAGTAAGAAACATGACGATATAAAATCCTTCGTCCTCACCTCCACGTGCAGTCGCTCCTGTGAGGCGTTCAGGTGCATCTGCCGCTGCTCTTTGTCGGCGTCGGCGCGGTGCTCCTGGCGCTCTTTGGTCAGAGCTTTCTGAGCGACTTCTCGCTCGTGCTCCCTCCTCTCAGCCAGGTGCTTCAGAAGCTCCGCCTCCTGACACTAGAGGGAGACAGAATTTTGCTTTTACAACAGAATCCCGGTCATTTTTTATCAGATTTTACAGAAGAAAGGCCAGCTCCCTGTTTCTTCTACTATTTTCTGGAAGCATCATTTCTAAGATGTCGTACGCAAGTGCTCCGTCTTTGGTCAATTTTGAAGGATCAATGATCAGAAGACCTCCAACAAACTGGTTCACAGACTTGATACTGGCGATCAGAAACATGTTTAAAAGCGAGTGCTGTGGCCATAATGTTCTCGGTTTCTTGAATCCCTCCAAAAATGTGGAGAAACACGGTTAAAATAACTTGTGGGGTTCCTCAGGGATCGACTGTAGGGCCACTGCTTTTTTTTCCTGGTCCACCACTTTGGTTCCAGATTGAAACATCACAACAACCATTGAATGAATTGTTGTTAAAATAAGTTTGAGACATTCATGTTCCCCTCAGAATGAATTGCAGTCACTTTGTACTTTGTACTCTTTTTTAATGACCAAATACCTGCAAAACTATTGAGATTCCCATTTAGCCTTGGCTGTTCTTCGTGTGTAGTGCTAATAAGCTAACATTAGCATGTTAAAATGCTTAACTAAGAAAGTAGAGTTGCTGAAAAGCATGTTAGCATTATCATTGTCAGCATGTTAGCATGCTGATGTTAGCATTTAGCCCAGAGCTCTGCTGGGCCTCAGTACAGCCCCACGTTCGTCTTGTTTTGGTAGTGAGAACTAGTGTGGCCTCACAATAACAATTAGGAATCATGTTTTATATTCACACACCTTCCTCCTCTCCTGAGCAGCGTCCAGCTTCTTCTGGATCTCCTCCAGAGAGGGCTTCTGGCGAGGCGGCGTGGTCGCCCGGAGCTCGGGGCCGCCGTCGAAGGTGGGCGGCTTCAGGATGACCTCGAAGGCCTGGCCACTCGTCCGCTTGCTCAGCTCGATCACCTCCATGTGCCGGATGTTGCACAGGTTCAGGTCCACCACGCCGGCTGCAAAAAAAGACCACCAGGACCGTGAAATGACAATAATCAATAATGTGGGCTTTATCTCTCTATGTTCACTATGTTTCCGGTTCCTGGTGTGTTGACAGCAAACCTAAACCCAAGATAATCATGACATCTTGGTTTTTGACTGACATGTCACTTGTGGTAGCAGGAGAACCACAGATGGAACTAACTGCATGGTTCTGTAACACAGCGGTTGATTGATGTTAGGAGTAAAGACGGTTGCTGACCTTCCTCTTTCTCGGCTGTGGGGCTTCTGGGTTGTGGGAGGATGCAGGAGCAGAAGAGAGACACCAGGGGGAGCTCTCGTATCTTCTCTCTGTACGCTGGAACATTCAGGGAGAGAGAAGAGAAGAAAAGCTGAGCAACAGGTCTGTATCGATTTACAGGAATGTAGAACACGTCATAGAACCAAGAACCATCGTGAGGCTAAAGTGAGTCTAACAGCTGAGGTTTTACCTGCTAGAGTCATGCTGCTGCTGGTTCCTGTCAAAGACACTGTGGTGAGGTAGAGGGTTCCTGCGGAGACACACGAGTCACATTCAGTTAGTCCAGAGAGTCACACAATCTAACAGCTTGAGCAGCAACCAGAGCCCAACACAGAAAGTCAAGGAACTAAAGAGAAGAAGAACATATGAAAGGTTTCAGGAGAAACAAACAGAAGGTGAAATAAAGAGGAGGAGCTGATCGGAACCTTGTGGAGTTTAAGTAACCTGGGAATTCTGCAATAAAGTCTCATTTGGTAGATTTTGCATCCTGTGGTGTTTCTCAATGTTGAAAACTGCTAATAAAATACATTCATTCAGTTTTGTTGGTTCCACTCTGATGTTTATTCACATCTCTACGAAGCTGAATCTCATTTTGATTGAAAGTCTTCGTGTTTGTTCTCTTTCATGAGCAGGAGATTATCATGTTATTGATCATCCAGCTGCTGCACAAACACTCTGAGCCAGAAGTTCATCAACCTTCATTCTGCAAACTCATCTGGTGCATGAAAAGTTCCACATTCATAGAAACACAAACACTTTCTGTCTAGCATTCATCTTTCAAGCATCTTTGTAGCTTCTTCAGTCTGAACAAGAAACACAAAGAGATTCAGATCACAAACAAGCAGAAAGTAAATCTTCACTTCAGAGGAACAGATATTATTCCTAGATGCTGTTTGCCGCCTAAAGGGTCGATCCCAATGTGTGTGTGTGTGTAGCCACTAAGCGATGATGTCATCACCTTCTGCAGAGTTGAGCACGCAGCTCAAACACTGAACTGATTATAAAGAGAAGACAAACAACAACAAAATAAAAGATGCAGGAAAGAAAAAGAAGCAAAAGAGACAAAAAAAACAAAAGATTCAAAAAGATTCAAATGATCTGCAGCTGAATAAAGGAATGAATGGACCTGCTTTCCTTTGTTCACGTGTTTGGTTTAAAAGAGGCTGCAGAAACGTGCAGAACGCTCAGAAACATGATGAAATGTTCACAAACACATGAAGACATATTCAACATAAATATGCGAGTACTCACCCTGCAGTGATGCTCAGTCTCTCTGCTCAGAGTGAAGATCTGCAGCTCAGCAGCATCAGCACCACACAGCAGTCTGCTGCATGACATCACCAACCAGCCATCCCATTGGCCGGCGGGGATGCTGGGCTGTGATTGGTCCAGAGGCGGCAGGAGGAGGAGGAGGAGGAGTGGAGGTTTGATTTCAGAGGAATCCTCCTGATCTGTGACAGAAAGCTCTTCATCACGGTTTTACTGGAGAATTCTGTTTTTCATCGAGATCAATACGAGAAGTTCATCAGTCACCGATCAGCTGATCGATCCCGTCTGACTCATGACATCACGTCTTCTACCAGGAGATACAAAGTGTGACTACTGAACTCATCCAGAAAATAAATAAAAAAGCTTTTTTAAAGTGAAGAACTTTTGCTTTACGACCGTTTAATTCTGTTCAAATTCACATAACTTTAATCGGAAATACGGCGGAACACAGAACATCTCCATCTGATGGAATGATACTATAGTAGTACCGTATTAATACTGCAGTAGTACCGTAATAATACTGCGGTAGTACCCGAATAATACTGCAGTAGTACCCGAATAATACTGCGGTAGTACCCGAATAATACTGCAGTAGTCCCTGAATAATACTGCAGTAGTCCCCTAATAATACTGCGGTAGTACCCGAATAATACTGCAGTAGTACCCGAATAATACTGCAGTAGTCCCCTAATAATACTGCGGTAGTACCCGAATAATACTGCAGTAGTACCAGAATAATACTGCAGTAGTACCCTAATAATACTGCGGTAGTACCCTAATAATACTGCAGTAGTACCAGAATAATACTGCAGTAGTACCCTAATAATACTGCGGTAGTACCCTAATAATACTGCAGTAGTACCATAATAATACTGCGGTAGTACCCGAATAATACTGCAGTAGTACTGTATTAATACTGCAGTAGTACCGTATTAATACTGCAGTGTATTAATACTTCAGTAGTACTGTAATAATACTGCGGTAGTACCCGAATAATACTGCAGTAGTACCGTATTAATACTGCAGTAGTACCGTATTAATACTTCAGTACTACCGTATTAATACTGCGGTAGTACCCGAATAATACTGCAGTAGTACCGTATTAATACTGCAGTGTATTAATACTTCTGTAGTACCGTAATAATACTGCGGTAGTACCCGAATAATACTGCAGTAGTACCGTATTAATACTACAGTAGTACCCGAATAATACTGCAGTAGTACCGTATTAATACTGCAGTAGTACCGTATTAATACTGCAGTAGTACCCGAATAATACTGCAGTAGTACCGTATTAATACTGCAGTAGTACCGTATCAATACTGCAGTAGTACCCGAATAATACTGCAGTAGTACCGTATTAATACTGCAGTAGTACCGTATTAATACTGCGGTAGTACCCGAATAATACTGCAGTAGTACCCGAATAATACTGCAGTAGTACCGTATTAATACTGCAGTAGTACCGTATTAATACTGCGGTAGTACCCGAATAATACTGCAGTAGTACCGTAATAATACTGCACTAGTACCCGGATAATACTGCAGTAGTACCCTAATAATACAGCAGTAGTACTGTAATAATACTTGGATCTGGTTGGCTCTGGTTCTGGATCGATGCACTTCTGAGGAAAATGTCAGCTCTAAATTTAAAAGCTGCCAGCGAGCCGTTAGTCATCCCGACTGTATCTGAGTATTAACGCCTCCGTCTGTCGCTCTGGTTCAAAGCCAAACCGTCGCTCCTCATTCAGACTCATCAGAACCAAACACACGTTTTTATGTTGATAAGAATTCAAAAAGCTTTGATCAGAGAAGTAAGAGTAAGTAAGAGTTCACTGCTTTTATTCTGAAGGTCTCAACTTGATTATGTCCATTTAAGTGGATCCCGTTAGAGTTTATATTTGCACACGTTCTCTGAAAGTTCATCAAAATTAAGTGACGGAAAACTCTGGAGTCAAGAATTCTGGCAACCGATCGCCAAAAAAAATAAGACTTTTGTCAAGTTCACAGCATTTCTGTTGTCTCCACACGGTTCTCAACATGGCGACGGAATCATCAGCGGCTAGCAGCTAATGGTGCTAACAGAGCCGACAGGACGGCGTCATCAGCGAACACATAAACAAATTATGAAGATTAAAAAAATAAAACTCAACCTGTAAACTGAAGGGAAGGTGTGACATCGCAACTGCTGCAGCTGGAAGCTGATTAACGGACGATTCGTCATGTGACCTCCGACTCCAACACGACTGACAGCCAGCAGGGGACTACAGTTCCCATCAGGCACCACGGCAGAACACAGTGTCCTCACACACTATTCCTCCTCTCCTCCTCACACTGAACCAGATGATGTAATGCAGCTGCAGTGTGTGTGTGAGTGTTTTTTTGTGTGTGTGTGTGTGTGTGTGAGAGTGTGTGTGTGAGAGAGTGTTTTTGTGTGCGTGTGAGAGTGTGTGTGTGTGTGTGTGTGTGGAGGAGGCTAGGTGAGCGAGAGGCTGCAGCAACAAGGAGAGAGAAACCTCCTCCACATCCCAACTGGTGATGTCATCTTCAGCCAATCAGCTGAGAGCTCTCAGAGCCACACTGTGTGTGTGTGTGTGTGTGTGTGTGTGTGTGTGTGTGTGTGTGTGT